TGCTCCGTCGTTGCACTGCTTCCTCGAGTGCATGGGAGAAGTCAGAGAATGGCTTTTGGGCAACTCCCTTATCCTGAATGAAAAGAAAACGGAAATTGTGGTGTTTGGCAACCATATCCCCCGGGGCCTATTAGCTGATACCCTTGGTTCCTTTGCCACTTCTCTCTCTGACTCGGTTGTTTTAAATTTAACAAACAAGTGTCCTCAGTAATCAAATCTAGATTTTACCAACTGTGCCTTATTGCTAAAACTAAGCACTATGTCCCTCATAAAGATCTTGAAAAGCTCATTCATGCTTTTGTGACTTCTAGATTGGATTACTGTAATTCTCTCTACTTTGGTCTTCACTCCGCTCTCCTTCATAGACTCCAGCTTGTCCAAAATGCTGCGGCTCGCCTCCTGACTGGCACTAGAAAGCATGCCTCTAGCACCTCCGTTCTTGCTGATTTGCATTGGTTACCCATAAAATATCATATCGAATTTAAAATATTGTTGCTCACCTTTAAAATTATGAATAATTTAGCCCCTCGTTATCTTGTCGATCTCCTTAGTCCATAAGTCCCTGGGTTAGCCCTCAGGTCTTCAGCCCAATTACTCTTGGCTCAGCCTAGATCTAGACTTAAATCTAGGGGTGACCGTGCTTTTGCCCTGGTTGCACCTAACCTGTGGAACAACCTTCCAATCCCTATCTGCGTGTCAGACTCCATTTTATCTTTACAATCCCGTTTAAAAACTCACTTATTTAACATAGCTTTTCCATGTAGTTAGTGTCCCTATTTTATATGTGGCGCAATTTTTTTTATATATTTACTTGATCTTTTAGTTATATCTGTTCTTAGTAACTTTGTTCTTATATTCCCTTTTATTCCTGTATAATTAGTGCCCTCAACCTGATGACATATGTGGTACTTTGTTGATAGTCTTTTATTTAATCATGTCTTAATTTTGCTGTTATTGTAAAGCACTTTGGTGTACCGCTGTTTTTTTAAAATGTGCTATACAAATAAAGTTGTATTGTATTGTATCATATTTAAAACCCCAGATTTCTCAGTTTTGGCATTTTACATGTTGTCACAGAGTTTGGTTTCAGTTTCAATTTCAGGATTTTTAAGATGACTGGGGGTCTGTTTGATGGCTTCTTCAAAAAACTGTCATTAGTTAAGGTTTACTTGTGTATCCATGTTTGTTGTAACAGTAACATATCTTGCATCAGGCTTACTGACACTGATTTCAGCTGTTCAGGTACCTGACTGTCTGAGCCTGACTTTGGTACAGATGTATTGTACATGTTCTGATTTTTATCTGTTGTGTGTTTTAATCAGAGCCAGGTGCCATAATAATGTGCTGGGTTAACTGAACTGTTTAAATACAAAAGAGTCATTTGGGCAGATTTGTACTCATCAGGTAGATGTGATACCGCTTTGACAACAAACTAAATTATCTGAAATAAATGCAAGGTGCAAAAAATCTGTAAAGGTGGTGTCTATCTTCCATCCATCCATCCATCCATCCTTTTCCGCTTATCCTTTTCAGGATCTCAGGGGTGCTGGAGCCTATCCCAGCTGTCTTAGGGCGAGAAGCAGAGCTTCCCCTGGACAGGTCGCCAATCTGCCGCAGGGCTTGGTGTCAATCATTTTATTTAAAAAATGTACTTGTATTCAACGTAATATACTCTTTCTAAAAGTACTGTTAGAAAACAGAAACTATAACATCTGTCCAAGTCTGATCAAGACAGCCATGCATAGAAGAAACATGTATATATATATACACAGTATGGTGTAGTCCAAAAGTCTTGAGACACCCCTCACTTCTTTATATTTTGTCAGGGGAATGTGACACAGGTGCAGCGATTTATTGAATCATGTGCAAACATTCATCAAAATACAGACTGAAAGACAAAAAACAGAGTCCATACAATTCAAACAGGACTGAAAGTATGTATGACCACCTTTACTCTTCAACACAGTCTGAATATTTCTTTAAGCAGTCTTCAGGAATATTTCTCCAGGCTCCTTGAAGGACATTCAAAGCTCTTCTCCGGATGTTGGCTGCATTTATATTCTCTGTCGACATGAGAATAATGTCCATGCTACAGTAATGTTGAGGTCCAGGCTCTGGAAGCCGATCCATGACTGATAAGTGCCATTGTGTGTTTTCAACTCAATTCAATTCATATAGTCACCTCAAGGTCCTTTATATTGGAACATAAAGACCCTACAATCATATAAAGATATGCTTTTACTGCATTGGCAGTGCATTTGGGATCACTGTTGTGCTGGAAAATGAAGCTGTTAGATATCAGATGTTTTCCAGCTGGTATCGTATGGTGGATCAAAATCTGATGCTACTTTTCTGCATTCATAATTCTATCAGTTTCGATAAGACATCGATGAGGATTTGAACCAAGAATTTTAAATCTGGATTCATCAGACTTGCTGCTACTGATTTTCAGTCCAGTTCTTGTCTAATTTGCTGTACTTCAGACTTTTCTCCCTTTTTCCTCACAGCCACCCTGCCACTGAGTCCAATTCTGGTGGTCTTTGTTGGATTTTTTCCCCTCTTTCTTAAGGACGTAAAGACATTTAACAGTATCTTAATATCTTATGGACACTTAAGATACTTCTGCTACTATCTGCCATAGATAATTTTTTAGGCCTTCTACCTCTTGTTTAAAAATCTACCTCTTGAAAATACTATTTTGACAGACAAAAAACACTATTTTATGTGGTGGCAAAGTACAGACTCTCTTTACTTAGAAAGTCCAGATATTTGTTTAAAAATGTAGGAAGTAAAAGTAAAAAGTTGTCAGAAAAAATCTTCTTCAATACAGCAGCAAAGTGTTTGCGCTTGGTCATTTGTTATCGTTGGCATTTTATGTAGATTCAACTTAATAAATGAGGACATGTGTTATATGTTGTTGTGACAGGCCGCTAGTAACAAAGTGCCTAAAGATACAATTTGAAAATGGGTTGTTGCTAAGTTATCTGTTATGTGTAGACAACACTGCTTCATCCTGTGAGTTTTTTTATGATGATTCATAGGGCAGTGCTAAGTGGTTAAAAAAAAACCATTTCTCTGCAAATGCTACAACGACTGGACTGCATCAAAGTGAAAAAGCAGCCAATGTCCTAAGAAAAAGTTCGAAACACATGGAGAACAGCTGCTCAAGAGCACTTGAAAAATGAGAACAAACTCTGGCAAAATACAAAGACGTTGGGAGTGGCTCTGGACTTTTGCACAGTACTGTAGGCACACACAGACACACACAGAGTCCCACGGGGACACAGGGTATCACCGTTCCCCTTCTAAATCCTCCTGTAATGAAGAGAAACTGGCACGAGTCTAAAAAGGTAACCATCCATTCCTTGCAGTCATTCAGCCAGGTCAGTGAATGCACCGGTTAGCAGCGGAGCGCAAAGAATGGAGTTCAATTGGCTTCTGTATTGTTTATATCAAGGAGTCTTGAAATGAGCCATATAAATGTCAATACCACTTAAATGTATGAAGATCATTTGTTTAAACAGACTTCTCATTAATCTCATCTGATTTCTGATTATTATAAAGAGCCAAATCCAAGTGGACTGTGATCTGTGTGTTATTCCAAGTATCCACAGCTGGCCTGAACATTAGGGTTAGCCAATCTAGACCTGTAGTCCATCTATTTGAGATGTTGCCACACACACAGACAGAGGCAGCGTCTTTAGTTATACCTGCCTTTTATAAGAATTTTCTCATTAGATAAAGCGAAAGAAAACCTCACAAAACTTGAATATGGCTTTCTGCTGATTCTCTAATTATTTATTTAACGCTACAATACAACAGTAAATGTCCTAGTGATCTCTCATGTATGCATGGCACAAAGTAAAAGTTCCTCAGTATTTTTAATAAATGATATTTAAACATCTACAAAAATGCGAAGAAATGTTTAGCTTAAAACACGTTTCATGCTCTGTCTGATTGATGGCTCCTACCCGTTTAGCCTGGTTCATAGCTCGTTACTTGCTTTCATATCTGGGCCAACTTGGACTTCATTCCATTAAGATGAAGTGAACACACTTCACTTAAGCACATTCTGTGCGCTGTAGCTACATCTATCGCCACGCTCTCACATACCACTGATGTTACTCTCACTCACTCGCGCACACATGGAGCATCTTACAGTTAAACTTTATTACACGACTACTATTACGTGACTAGATTACATGCCTCGCTCCTGGAGGGATCTCTGCTTGAGCACTCCAGGAGAGGTTAGCAATGGTCCCGAATCTCTTTCATTAAATCCTGATCGTAGAATGAGTTTAGCTTTAAATTGGCTTCTCTTTATTTGATTTTGGGACTTTCTGGTAGTATTTATGCAGAAATGTATCAAACTATGAATGGTTTATACATTTTTAAGCACTGCAATTTTCAAACCAAAGGTGATTTAAGATTTGATCTTTACTCCAAGTCTTACTTCATCAGCACAAAGCACTCACTGAAAGGTCACCAGTCCAAAGTAAAGCAATCACATCTGAGTCATGGTGGAAGTGACTGACTGCTTATAGTGACTTTAAAAATGCTTAAATCAGGGTGGCAGCTGTTTTGTAAGAGCTGCTCTCTGCTGCACTTTCCTTGACTTTTCCGGGGAAAGGTCATGTGCCTCGAAGGCAATCTGAGGGAAAACATCCCATGGAGCTCCCCAGAGAGAGAAAACTGTGCCCAAGAGAGCTGGTGAGATGACATGAAATGAGAAAGCAATCTTTTAAAATCCCACTTTAGTTGTTGTTCATTCCTCTGAAGACAGAAAAGGATGGGAGCCATTCAGGGGAAACCGCAGGAGGACAAAGTGTGTGAGGCAAAGTGTGTAATTTCGATGTTTGACGATATGCAAGAGCGGAAATGTACAGTGAAGTGTTTACAAAGGTGGAGGGCTTCAATTTTCAGATAATAAGAGCTCATTTCTTCATTCCTTCTATTCTCAGTGCCCGTCTTAGCGTGCATATATGTGTGCGTGTGTGTACCTGTAGCTTTCTCAGGGTTGTTACACATGAAGCAGAGCCAGCCTCCTTCCTCCTCACTGTATCCAAACAAGTCGAAGAAGCGCACCTCTTCTAGCTGGATCTGAAGGTTGTCCAGGTCCTGAAGGCAAACGGAAAGGAAACAAATACATGGAACAACTGAGCATCTCAAATACTAAACTGTCCTATTTAAACTTTCTATCTGCTGTGATCAATAGTGACTGCCTCCATCCAAAGCAGCGGACAGTGCACAAGAGAGAGTAAGAACAGGATGCGGGCAGGGTGGAGCGGGTGGAGAGGAGTGTGAGGGATGATTTGTAACCTAGAGATACCAGCAAGTGAGAAAGGGTAGATTTACAAGATGGCATGCTATGATGCATTGTTTGAGGTGTTGGCAATACCAAAAAGACAGGAGGCAGAGCTGTAGGTGCATATGTTCATACTGGGAGTGACCAGGATGGATAAGATAAGGAATGAGTACATCAGCGGGACAGCTCAGCTCCCATTTCTCTATGTAATGAGAAATATCACGGAGAGATCAGGCATCTGTGCTGAAGCAGAAGAATTTAACATTAGAAAAAACTGAGTGGTGTCCAAGATGGATCATTGGAAGCTTTGGAATCTGCATGAAAAAGGAAAAAAAAAACACGTACAAAAATTAGGCTCGGGCTGAATTAAAAAGAAGAAAGCAGGTAGAGGACGAGGACCAGCTGAGGACCATAAGATGACTTAGCCAAAACAGGAAGGTGAAAGTTACGACATCATTCTTAGATTTATAGTCTACATAGTATTTATTAATGCATTTAATTAATCAATTTTCACTTCTTTGTTTTTCTCACTGTTGTATATATACATGTTTATACTCTCTCGTATTATAAAACCCCTTGTGATTGAGCGAGTGAAAGAAAGTCAGGCACAGGTTAAAGTCCCGAAAAAAAGTTTTTTTTATTTAACCCAAAAACAAAGGTGGTTAAATTATACAAAAAAATCAAAATCTTGTGCCCATAAAAGAGGTCAAAGTAACAGAAATCTACTCAAAGTTAACAACAAACAATACTGGCAACTCAAACAAACTGACCTCCCTAAATGAGACAAAGAAACTTAAACAGGGCTGATCAGCCCACAAAAACACACAAAGCCTAACTGAAACTAACATAACGAACTCCATTTCCCCCCCATGATCCAGAGCTATGGAACGAGCCAATTTGCAGTTCTCCATCTAGGCTTGCTCCGCCCCCTTTTCACCTCTTGGCTCATCAATCAAGGGACCGGAGCAGCTGTAACTGAGGTAACTCAAAAACAAAGAGATTAAATCATACATAACAGTGTAACTTTAACTTTATTGTAGACTGTACTATTTTCTTCCTTTATCATGCTGCTATAAAACAACAATTTCTTTTGTGGGATCCATAAAGTATCTACTTATCTAACGATCTGTCATAAATGTTAAATATATTCTTTTTAATAAAAATGAACAAAAAACATTTCATTAAAAGATGTGTTTAAGTGGGTTAAAACAATCACGATCAAGTTCATGGAAGAATTCTTGCACTGATTGCTGCACTTTTCCGGAGCTTTTCCTGAGCTGCTGGCGTAGCTCCGGATTGCTGTTATTATTATACTCGTCACTTTGTGGTTTACATGCAACACACAGACCCTTGCATGAAAAGCACTAAAAGACCTTTCAAAGAGTTTACAGAATTACCGAATGACAGCAACGTCAGGAAGAAGGAACACGAGAAGCTCGAGAAATACCAAGGGCTCACAGAAGAACTCGAGAAGATGTGGAAGGTGAAGGCAACAGTGGTCCCAGTGGTAATCGGAGCACTCGGTGCAGTCACCCCCAGGCTGGGAAGAGTGGTTCCCACTCCCAGGAACAACATTTGAGATCTCTGTCTAGAAGAGCGCCGTCCTAGGAACAGCTAAGACACTGCGCAGGCCCCTCAAGCTCCCGGGCCTCTGGGAGAGCACCCGAGCTTGAAGGATGAACCACCCGCAGGGGCGAGCGGGGGATTTTTATATATATCTATGTTTTATTTAGATTATACTAACATTCCTGTGGTTGTTAAACAGCTCAGGGCATAAGCAAATGCAAAATCACACATGCATAAGGGATTCTTAACTCTAAGAAGTAGCTACTTAACAAAAATCCTGAAAATATCAACTTTGCATCTGTGTCAGAAGAGCAAACAATGGAAGACTAGACCCCCACCAGAAATCCCACAAGACCTCCTGCACATGGTAAGAGTTATACTTCACTTTGAATTCACACAAACACACTTCAGTGACACTTGACATATTTCTTTTTTTCTTCCTTGGAGAAAAACATGAAAATGATCGATCACTACCATTAGTTTTGTTTTGTTTTTTTACATATACCGTACATTTACCATAAATTTACATTATCTTTAACTAAAACCATGTTTCTGCAGTGCTGTTATGTGGTTTCCCAGATCTCTTTTATCATGATTGCACAGTTCAAATACCCCAGAAGCAAACCTACCACATACACACGGCTCCAGGATTTCTCTAAAAACAGCTCTTGCACACTGATCATCAGTAAAACTTCTGACTTCAGCAAGCAGGCTAACAAATGCAGATGGATTTAAATGACTATAAGAAAAAACTGAACGTAGCTACACTGTGCTGAGCTACTAGTGTGTTTTAATTTATCCCCCTTGATGTTAAAAAGGAAAGATGTCACATCTGATTTTTTATGTTATTACTACTTAAATGACTAAAAATGAAGGGGATTTGCCTGCAGATACAGATAAACCCAGACCATATGGGGTTTGGGAGAGACCGAACATCTGTGGGTTTACGCCAACATTAATATACTCATAACGTGCAGTGGACCGAGTGGTCTTCAGGAGATGTAAGCTTCAAAACGAACAAATGCAGAAAAAGATTTGCAAAAGAAAAGCAGGAGCGAAAGACAAGAAAGTTAGTGAAAGGATAAAAGAGAAGACGAGGAGATGAGAGTCGAATGGTATGACAAATACGTTACCTGACTGTTTTCGCAATATACTGTTTTATACTTGTACTCTACTACACTGCAGAGGTACCAAATATGTTAGAAAATACAGTGCACATCTTCCTCCCACACGTAGTTCCACTGTGTTTCATAATTACGCTAATACGTTCCTAATATGTTGCTATCTGGAAATATAGGAGAGCGTTTATTGTTTTAACTGATTATAATATGTTAGCAGGATATAGCTAAAGTATCTAACGTTGGCCATCTGCAGCTCCGGGCAGTATTTCCAGGAAATGTCAGTAAGCTGCACCTCTGAGCTTCAAACTGGCTCCAATGTAAACCCACAGAGGGTGTCACGACTTTTAACAGCCGTCTTTAAATAGCGTCAAAGGTGGGGTTATCTACCAAATGTTAATATAGTTAAAGAACCACTCCACCCGTTTTGAAAGGAGTGCTTATCAGGCTGTGGTAGCATTTGATTATATATTAAAAAAATATGTTCATGCATTACAATTACAAATCAAATCTTGCTCTATCAGCAGTCACATCATCCATAAACACTAGTGACCTGCTTCTACTGGCAGCCATACATGCCTGTTTTCTCTTCCCATCATTCACCATTTGTCTTGGTTTTGTTTGTCTTTTCTGTCTTTCAGATCTGCGCAGGCTTTTTAAAAATGTTTTCTGTCTAATTTGTCCTTCTTGTTCTTGAGTGTAATCAGTGGTTTGCAGCTTGTTGTAAATCCACTGTTTTCACATTCATGAAGGCATCTCTTAATTATAGACCTTGACACTCTTACCTCCCCGAGAGTGTTCTTGACTTGGTTTGATGTTGTGAAGCTGTTTTCCATGGGAATAATCCTGTCGGCCACTTCGGTCGCATTTTGTGGTACTTGAGGCATTTTTTGGTGTTGCTGAGCTGCTCAGTGAATTTATTGTTTTTAGATTTAGTCAGTCCGGATTTTTTTGTTCTCTCTCTCTCACACTGACGGGTTTATTTTGGGGTTTTTTTTCGGCCTAACGATGGCCTGCCTCACTTGCACTGACATCTCTCTTTGGGCCTCATATTTAAAATTATAGTTAAAATATATTAAACACTTTGAATCATATCAAATATCCTGAACAGTAAACGCAAAAAAAACCCCCAACAAATTGTAAAATTCCTTGAATTGGAGTTGGAAGTCTGCACTTCAATCACAAATTGGTGATGTACAAAGACAAAAATACACAAACCGCCTTTGTCCAGCAAATTATGAAACTGACCTGACCTGTCGTAGTTTAGACTCACCTGAATCTCGTCTTTGTTGGCTTTACAAGTGAAAAAGAAAAAGCAGAAACAGCTTTTCTACGGACCTTCAAGGAGCCAATTACTGAAATAGCTTTAACATTGTTTACCGATGACACAGCAAACCTCTGAAAAGCAGCAACTGGAGACAGAAGCAGAGAGAAGATAAAAGGACCGGCTGTGAGTCAGAGGTTGAGCAACAGTGTCTAACAGTGAATGCAAACCCGACATTTGCTGCAAAATACAAGAAGAAATGAATGACCAACAAAGAAAAATGAGTAAGATCAGATGTATTTGCTTCCAGAGCCCATTACAAGAATGCCTTAAACTCCAGCGTATGTGTCTAATCAAATTATCGCAACTGAAAGGCCGTAATGCACGGAACAAACATCCAGTATGTGTTTTCAAATGTGAGCTTTGATGCTACTGAGGTTGGAGAGATGAATTTGCAGCCGGGCAACAGCTTGTGTGGACAAACATGGCCATGTTTGATTCATCAAGCCCCGAAAGGTGGATTCAATAAAGAGATGAAGAAACAAAGGCTGGATTATGTGAGTCTGAATGTAATCTGTCTGTCCTCGCAGAGATTTCAATAAACCCCCTTTGTGCACCTCTCTCTATCATTCCTCTCTCTCCTTTCATCATTTTGTTTGAGTTTACAATTATATTTTCATCAAGATTCGAGATTGCCAGTGCACATGGCTGACGGCAACTGCAACAATGCTCAATGTACCAAATCTGCAAAACGCGTCCTTGAGGTTGTTTTTGCCATTTAAAATCTTATCTTATTCATTTTTTTCTAACATAAATCCAGATATTCTAATAAACTGAGAATGATAAAAGATTTTTTAAGAAGCCAAACTGTTATTAACTCCAGAAATGGAGGGAAAAAATGTGGTTGATGAGGTTGTAAGAATGTAGGTGAAATTTCTGCAGAGAAAACTGAATGAGACTGAAGGAGGAAGGAGGAGGAGGGAGGGGAGTGTACGTCTGGAGAAAGGTGAGTGGATAAGAAGAGGGAGTGTTGGGAAGGGGGAGTGGAGGAGAGGCGGACTGAAGCAATAAACAGGGACGTGCTTTATTTCTGTTCCTGCGGACTTTCATCTGCGGCTCTGTCTGGCAGGCCGGGGTCCTGACTATAAAACTCCTTTCACACGGGCACACGCAGAGGTCAGCTGTCTCCTCTACCCTTGTTTCGTCCCCGAGCATCTTTATCTAATCACAGCCTCGGTCCCATCTTTATCTTCGAGTACCCCGCCTTCCTCCCTCCTCTCCCTCCATCAAACGTTATCTTCACCACAGTTGTATCAACAAACTCTCACGCGCTGGGCAAACTGAGTGAAACAATACTTTTCAAGCACCTCCTTCCACGGACTTTGCTCTGTCTCCTTTCGTATCTTGTGCCATGTCTTCCTCTCACTATGTAAGATAATCCCCACTCCTTAAGTTTTCTCCTCGGCAAAGTTTACTCCTTGCTAACCGCCCCTTCAGTTCCTCTCAGTTTCCTTTTCTCTTCATCTGCATCCCATCTGACCATCTTTGCTCCTCCCCACCCTTTCTGCTCCTCATTTCCTTCACTTTTATCCTTTTACATCTTTATTCTTTTAACCTTTTACTATTTTCCAACTTTATGTATTTGTAACTTGTAAAACAAGTGTTATTAACTTGTTTAAGGTCACCCCCCCCCTCTTGCCCTTAGGCCCTCCATCCCCCCATTTTTGCTTCCACCAGCTTTTCTCTGTGTCATAAAACTACTAACCCAAAATGTCAGAAGCTAAACACAAGCCCCTCTTAAATCACCGAAGCCTTGTAAAGCCCTACGGTCTCCCTTTAAATCTTCCTGTCAGTACGGATGTAACTGGTAACCTTTTCTGTCTCACACATATAACAGCTTTCCTTGTCCCGCGGCTCTTCTCCTTGCTGTCAAATCATGTGCGATGCTGTTTGGCTGACAGTGACAGGAGAGAAGCTGTAGATCTCATTGAGGCGGAAAGAAAGCAAAGAGGCAGTGTGATGAATGTGGATGGAGAAAAGAGTAGTGGCTCTCTTTCTCCTCCTTACTCCTCTTAAATTACACCTTTGTTTTTTTTCTTTCAACTCAACACTAATTTTGCTTGTTTTGTGTTTCCGGATCACCAAAATCGAAGCTGTCAGCATCAGCATGTTTTTACATTCTGCTAAGATGATTTAGTAGTGGTGAGCAAACTTGTTTAAGTCTACCGATGCAGTATTTCCCACTCCCCGTCAATGCTTTGCACTAAGTGCATTTTAATGTGAAGGCAGTGATCTTAACCGCAACAATTAACAGTCCATTTACACAGTATAATTTCTTTCACAGACATTTGCACTTATGCATTGTTGGAATGTTGTGCTGAAACTTTGCAGACCCTTTTCTAAATTCCCAGGCCAACAAATACGGCTGTTTAATCAACGTCCACGGTGTTGTAGCTGTTCTTGGTGTTTAGTATCCTCGCCAAGAAGGCTTCAACATGCAGACTGGAGGAGTTGAGGACTGAGACACCAACCTTCTAATTACAGGCAATCCGATCTGCCTCCTGAGCCTCAACTAACTACTACCAAGATACGCAGTATACAGTAATGCACCAACTTTAGGCAGTGGTGATTATAATTGTCATTGCCACATGTAAATCGTTCTAAAGCCCAGGAGTCACAGTCACTGGGTAAGCTGGTTTTCAGAGGGTGAATGCTGTGATCCATGACCTTTTCTAAAAACTTAACCATCTCATTTTTTCTATTGCTTTTTTAAAAAGCGAGTGAAAAGGAAAGACTCAGTGTGTCGAAACAAAGAGCAAAGCACAAAGATTCAGGGTCCATGTCAGGATACGCTGTGTGGAGTATGGTGGACGTTAGCGGAAATGAACCTACGGCAAAGATTTAATGCTGGAACAATCAAAGAAAAACACAGTCCAGGCGCCATGAGGAAAAGCAAGCTACAGTGGGTAGCACTAGGGAACACATTAGGGAACAATAAATACAAAAGGTAATGAAGCTACAGTGGAACAGGGAACAGATCAGGGATAACGTGACAAGCACAAAGTACAAAAGACTACAAAAGTAAAACAGGAAAAAACTGAACATACTAAGACAGCGGTCCCCAACCTTTTTTGCGCCATGGACCCGTTTAATGTCAGACAATATTTTCATGGACCGGCCATTTAAGGTGTTCGGATAAATACAACAAAATAAAATGACACGATCAAGACAAAAAATGGGGTATTTTGTAAATATCATAATAAACACAAATTCACTGTGTAATTGTGTAACTTTATTAGCAGCGTCCTCCTGAAATGCGCCAACAACATTGAGAGTAACATCCTCCTCTCTGCCCCTTAATGCTCTCTGGTTGCTATGGTAACACATAAATATTTCTTTCAAAATAAGACACACAAATACAACACGGGAAAAGACCCAGGGAAACCGAGTTAATGTAAAAATCCTGAAAACCATCAATTTCGCACCCGAGCCTCAACTCTCGCGGCCCGGTACCAAACGACTCATGGACCGGCCCGGGGGTTGGGGACCTCTGTACTAAGGTGATACACAGGGGCACAAGCGGGGAAGACTACAGGTTATACAAAACAAACATCAGGCAGAATGATCATGAACAAAACCAGAAACTGAAGCAAGGAACTAGGACTCAGTGACAGTAATAAATGTGGCACACAAGAAAATATGCTTTTAAAAGAGGGCCATAATCTGACAGGCACCTGATAAAACAGCAGTAATTGAGTGGGAAAGAGAGCTTACAGTTTTACTAACATGAAATAGTGAAAGTGAATGATCATCGTAAGTTGTAAAGTCACTGTTGTTGTTGGCACGTACAAGGGATTTCTCTGACCAAACACAACAACGAGCGTGTCAGCTGAAGCACTGTGTTATCAGCATGGCTATATGGCCCATAAATGTAAAAAAATCACTGCATGTGTAGCTTCAGGGTCTGTGTTTTTATAGGCCTCCAGCTAAAACAAACAAGAGTTTAATGTGATCTAATTTAGGACTATTGAGATCATCAGGAAAGTAATTCGCTCGTGGATAATCAAATCAGACAGTGAGAGAGTGAGGTTGTTTACCCTATGGGTATGTATGTGACGCAGGTGTATAAGTGCTAAGCGCAGCTGTTTTAACATGTGGCGACATAAACGTGTCCACACACACTCCCAATTAAGTTTCCGTGATTGAACAACAAGAAAGCGACTGGGCAAAAACCGGAGAGTTCAAGGAGAAAAACCTGTTGACAAAAGAGAAAACAAAAGTTCGTCTCACGTGTGATGATTCCCAAGACTTTTGGAAAAAGATTCTGTGGACTCATAAGACAAAAACTGAACTTAGTAGAAGGTTTGAGTCCCGTTACAGCTACCATAAAACTAACACAGCAATTAAGTCAAATGTGGTGCTGGCAGTGTGATGATCTGGCGCTGACTTCCTGTAACTGATGGAACCATGAATTCTGCTCTCTACCAGAAAATCCAGAAGGAGAATGACCGACCGTCAGTTCATGACCTGAAGCTCAATCACACAGGGGTTATGCACCAGGACAATGATCCAAAACACACCAGCAAGTCCACCTCTGAATGGTTAAAACAAACAAAATGAAGGTTTTGGAGTGGCCTACTCAAAGTCCGGACTTAAATCAGATTGAGATGCTTTGGCACGACCTTAACCAGGCTGTTTATGTTGGAAAACCCTCCAGTGTGGCTGAATTAAAACAATTCTGCAAAGAAGAGCGGGTTAAAATTCCTCCACAGTGATGCAAAAGATGCATTGCCAGTTATCACAAACACTTGAGTGCAGCTTTTGCTGCTGCGAGTGGCACACCAAGTTATTAACGTTTAGAGGGCAGACAGGTTTGATTAAATAAATAAAATCATCATTTAAAACCTGCACTTTCTTTTTACTCAGCTTATCTTTGTCTAATGTTAAAATTTGACATGTAAGTGTGCAAAATATGCAAACAAACTAAGAACACAAGAAGAAGCCAAACACTTTTTCTCAGCACTGTAAGTGTACTTGTGTTTTTTTCTGTAAGGGCTCCATATGGGAACCACAGCTGGTTGCAACCACAACACACGTTTAGAGAAAGACAAATAACAGCTGTATTTTCTTTGTGAGCCTAATTATTTCCTAATGAGCACTTAGCTTGTCACACATAAGAAGCGACAGCACGAAGAACACCACCCATTTCCACGCTCTCACCAAACCAGACGCACATATTCACCCCCCACACCATTCCCACCCAACCCCCCTCTCGTTCAATTGCTTTTTCTCAGTGTTTCAAATCTGCAAACACACAAACAGACATGATAAAGATGAGAAGACAGGGCGAACGGAGGTCCTGTATACAAACACGTCCATTCAGTGCCTTCCATATCTAAACAAAGTGGGTGCTGACGCTTCCCTATCTTTATTTCTTTCTTTTACGCAAGCGATGACTTCATCTTCTCTGGTGGAAACAGATAGCTTTTATGAGGAAGCTGCATGATTGCGCACACACACACACACCCACACTGCGGTGGTCCAGTACCTTCTTGTGTGGTGTAGTCTGCTGTGTCATGGCCATAGAAAAGCTGTGAGCTCCTTTAAGCTGCGTCTTTTCCCAAAGAGAACCCAGTTTTTGGACACACTCGTCCCTGGTGCTGAGAGGTACGCTGGACTTACTCTAAGAGACAAAATACAAGAGCAGGAGAACAAAAACAAATTTAAAAACTGAGATATGGTTCAGATAAAGACACAAAAGACTGCGCAAGAGCGTAAAACTATCCTAGTCAGTGAAGGTTCTCAATTATTCTCCAATACGAAATGTTTAAGGAACAACATATTTCAGACCTTCAGGCAACCAAAGACCAATGACATCAGATGCACGTCTTACACTTACTAACACATTTGTGTGCTTTTACAGCGGGACATTTGGGTGCACCTGTAAATGTAACAACATGATGTGAATCCATAGATGCGGCTGTCGGCTGGTCAGGTTGAAGCAGGATTTGGCGTACAGACAGTAGTGACCTTTCAAAGGACAGGAGAACGAAAGCTTGGCCGCACAACCTCGACTGGAATCTGCATCACGAAAAGAGCAAAAATGATAAAATATTAATATTTACCAAATCATTCAAAATGATTCTCCGCATTTGCACGTGGTCTTGTGTATTTTCTTCGCTGCCTTTGGCAAACTTCGCTCAACAAACTGACGATACCAGTAATAATGGAAAATTGACAGTCTTGGTATTGGGATCGGTCTGCCAGGGCCTCCACTCCTGGCTGCCACCCAGCACACAATGCAGGTGGCACCTACGGCAGGTGCTGCGGCTGCAGTGATGCAGATGCTGTACCGGTCCCTCGTGGTGAAGAGCTAACTCTGAAGGGTGGCTGGCCTCTACCTTAGAGATAGGGTGAGAAGTTTAGCCATCCGGGAGGGGCTCAGAGGACAGTCGCTGCTCCTCCACATTGAAAGGAGCCAGCTGAAGTGGTTCGGGCATCTGAAAAGGATGCCTGCTGGGTGAGGTGTTCTGGGCATGTCCCACCGAGAGGAGGCCCCCGAGCAAACCCAGGACATGCTGGAGAGATTATATCACTCGTCCAGCTTCGGATTAGCGGAAGAAGATGGATGGATGGAAGATGGAAATGGAGTTTGTACAATTCTAATGAGTTTAAAAGTCATATTTGGTATGGACAGCTTTATTCTTCAACACAGCCTGAACTCTCTTACATTAGCTTTCTTATCATTTCTTTTTAGGAATCGTTTAAGATATTCAAAGCTCTCCCTTGGATGCTGGCTTTTCTGTTCTCTGTCAACATGGTCCCACACTGCTTCAATAGTGTTGGGGTCCAGACTCTGGGGAGGCCAATCCATGACATTGTGTGTTTGCTATCTAGGTATGCTTTCACTTCACTGCCAATAAGATACGTTCCATATGGTATTGCATGGTGGCTCAAAATCTGATTTACATTCATAATTCCACCAGTTTTGACAAGATCCCCAACACCACTGCATGACAGAGCCTCCATCACGTTTTACAGATGAATGTAGACACTCACTGTTGTATCTCTCTCCTGACCTTTTCTCTGCATAGTGACAAACCAGAAATTTCACATCTGGATTCATCACTCTATCAGACCTGTTGTCACTGATTTTCAGTCCAGCTTTTGTGTGAGTTGGCATACCTCAGCCTTTTCTCCCCGTCTCCCTTCCTTAACACTGGCTTCTTGCTTCCACTGAGACACGTCTGACATTTCTGATGAGGCTTTAGCAAACTGTAGATAGATCAACTGAAAGGCCAGATTTCATTTCAGATACTGTTCATCCTCTTCTTCCACTTGTTCTTTGTACTCCACTTATTCAGTTTCCCCAAATTATTTTAAGGACACACTTCATACTGCGCTCAGATCTGCCAAGTTTTCGGCTCATAGCTCTTTTTGAATCATATTGTTGGTGCAAAGATGATATTTTGTGCTTTTTCATAACTTCAGTGACAAAGAGCCTAACGATTCAATTTAAAATTGGTTGTTTGTCTGATCAGGTACAAAATCTAGTGTGAAACACAAGCCAGAAACACTTGTTTTTCAGACAAAGCCTGAAGGACTGATTAAAAATTAGTAAAAAAAAAATAATACTTTTGCACAGTGCCGTACATGAGCTCCAGTTCAGAAAGTCCTGCATTATACTAATGTACCCAGTTTTCAAACAAAAGAAAGAGAACGAGTAAGGCTGACGATAACAACAGAATCCCACCCAAAAGGCATCATCTACAAACCAAGAGCAGCTCACGATGAAATCAGCAGAAAAACTCCGAGCAGCAAAGAGGCACCCTGTGAGTGCGGCATCGACAAAAAAGCATGTGGACGCAGCGTGTTTTTACTGTGTCCATGTGCACGTGCAGACGTGCAGAATATATGTTTGGACTGAGCGCTCAAGCGCACTCTTCTGTGTAATCCTCATCCTGTGAGATGAAGGGTCAGCAGCTCGTGGGAAGGTCAGCCAGGAGCATGATGACATCATCCAGCTGAGACCACCCGTGACATCATAGGCTGCGAGCCTTTGGGTGGATTCTCATTGCCAGCAGGACCAAATACTAAGCCATCAAACTCAAAGTACACAACTGCTGGTTATATTTACATTCACCTTCAGATTTAATCAATTAACCAGAGGCCAAAGGAGGAGTTTGTGATTTTCTGTCTTGTTTCCTGTTTTCATGTGTGTGTAATGTGTGGGTGCCGTTTGACTCTTGGCTGCCTCTCAGATAAAATGACATTAAGGCCAAAGGCGGAGCAATAACATCCTCACGTGTCAATCAAAATATCATCACCTCCTGTGCTGTATCGGGTACGCATCTGGTTTTCTGTGTTTTTCATCATGAATATGGTGAAAAGAATAATGCCTCACTACAAGCTTGTGTCTGTGGTTGGCTCAGAGAAAGGAGTACACACTGGAATATCATGTCTAACTGTTTACTTAAACTGCAGTAATATGCATATGATAACATGTATTGTTGAATGTGCTGTGTAGGCTCTGGGAGCTCTCGTTGTCCAGCTAAATGCGTTTCTTTCTAAATGTGCTCATTTTGTAAAACAAGTCCACATGATGCGTTTTTATTACTTACGTCACATTAGGATTTATCATCGTAGGAGGGGCTGGGTCGAGTTAAAAAACGTTTGGATATGCAAAAGGTGATGACAAGAGCTGCTAAAAGATGGCAGTGAAGGCTTAATCCAAGTGAACCGAATCGAATTGGAAAACTGAAAATAAGCAGAAATGATCTGAACTGAATGAAAATAAAGCGCCAAATCCCTAAATATGAGAAGAAGGTGTGCGAAACTGTGAAAATGGATTGGAAAGTTTCAGAAAATGGATTAGATTAGTTTAAGCGGTTTCTTGTTTCTTGCTTATTTGAACTGGTTGAACTGGTGTTTTGATTCTACCTGAACTCCAAGCACAAAAGTAGGAAAGTGCTCATCATTCACGCTCACCAAAACTGCTCCCATGCATACGTGTGCTTCTTGCAAACATCCTACATATGCATACCATTCATCTGTTTCTACTTAGCTTTGCAGATTTTGCCTGTGTGATTCTTTCTGGTTGCCTGTTTTTCCACACACTGCCTCTTCTGTCATTTCACACTCAGCCGCTCCGGCCTGTCCCGTTTCCCACCGCCAGTCACCTGACCCTCAGTGCCTCTCTGCTCACTTAAACATATTGCCCTAATCAACTCCCTCTGTATTTATAACCCTAGTTCACTGTGCCTTAGCTGCCAGATTGCCATTGGCTACCTGTACACCCCAAACAGAATAAAAATGCCTCAAATAAACATCCCAATCAGAATAAACAGGCCTGAGAGGGTTGGAATAAACCCTTTTGTAAACTGATTACAAGACAAATTGATTACTGATTGCTTTCTGGCTGTGTTTCTTCAGCGCATGCCCTCCGTCTTGATGCAGGTGCTTGGAGATGTGCATGTTTCTTCTTTTTCCCAATTATGGCAGCTTCCTATATGAACTGTCACACTGTCACGCTGCTCCAATTTGGACATGGGCGCGCACACAAGTCTGTATTAGATCCAAAATCTTTAGCTGAACAACTGTTACTGCAACCTTAATGCAAGGAAATCTGAAAGTAGTGACACACAACACACACACACACACACACCAAGACAAACGCTCACTACACACACACTAGACACACTACAACACACAGCACAAAAGAACCACCACAAACACACAAACACGACACAGACACACACAGACACACACACACACACACACAGACACACACACAGACACACACAGACAGCTGGTTTGTTTTTATAATTGAATCATCAGCCTTTCTTCAAGGCCCGATTTAATGCTAACAACCATTTTCAGTTCCCATTAAAAATAATGATATTTTGATCCTATTACGTTGATGTGATTTTGAACCTGAACTGCAAAGATTGGATGTCATCCAAAAGTTTTCCTTGTCTCTGTTATTCCTTTGTGGGGTCCATATACCGCAAGCCCAGATCAGCAGCTCAGCTGAAACACTGGCTATTTTTTCACTGTGTAGTGTGTGTGTGTGTGTGTGTGCTGTTTCCCCTCGCACACTTAATGTCAAATAACCCCTAACAAGTCCCATTTAGAAATGATTAATAGGAGATATTAGGCACGATTAGACATTAGGCACCTCACTAACTAGATTGATGTCATCTGGAGTTTTAGCCACTGCTAAATTATACGAGGCGGTTGAAAATTCCACAGGAAAATCACATGAACCTCATCACCTCACGGGCTGCTGATTCTCAGCGACTGGAAAGCCTTTAGCACACAAATAATCAGTCTACAGTATTTGTTCAGACAGCATAGAAATTTTGGGAAGACCAAAGAAAACGGCATTCAGGGGCGTGGTAGGGGTGAGGGTGTGGGTAAATTACAGTCTGGATAGGATTAAAATCAGTAATCAGTGAGCGCATAACTAAAATCAAATTAGTGCTCCTGGAGAAACAAATCCCTCTCAATTTGGAGCTTTGGAGGCAAAAATCAACCCTCAGCTGAATGTTGCATCTGTGTCAGTGTGTTAGAGACACACAGTGGGAATGAAAGACAGGAGAAGATGAGGTATATTCATACCACATCCCATTAATACCCATTAATCACCAAGTCTGATTGTAATCTCATTCAGGTTCAGCAGGTTAAATAAACCCTGCCTTTGACAGTCTCCATGGAACCTCAACTTCTGCTTAAATACTTGTGGATTAATACTGAAGACCAGCTTCTACCAGCATGCATTACCTTCTATCACACACTGCTCTGGGATGGGGATCTGCTGCACCATTACTTTACAGAACTCTCCGATCATCTCCATATTGTCTCTTAAATGGATGTAAAGTCTGTCAGGCTCCGCCCACTCTCCTTTCTGTCCATCCTTCTCTCTGTTTTGATTTTTCTCCACCTCTTTAGCCGCTCTGTCTAGCGGAGTGACGCCGACCAGAGAGCCATCTGTCAATTTCCTCTCAGCAGGTGAGACTTCATGGTTTTCTGAATGCTGATTAGGCAAAGTGTTGGAAAAGGCGCTATCTGTGCTGAGCTCCACCCCTTCACCGTCCTCCCCTTCGTCTGAGTTAATGGACCGAGAACGCACGGCATGGAGAGCCAGGCTCTTTGACCTAGGAGAGAGAGCATGAAGAAATTAACAGTTAAAGCAATAAAAATGTTTCTGGTACCTCTTCATCAATATTTGTTGACTGTTCTACTTTTTTCTACTTTGAGAAATGATGTAATATCCTTAAGCCACAAAGAAATTACAACTTCCAGAGTAGTAGGACATCTCACCAAGCGAGCATTTTGTACTACAAAGATGATGATGAATATATATATATATTATAATATATATATAAATATATATATTATATATGATTATAGTGATAATAGTTAAGTATATATATATTATATACACACACACCACACACCACACACTACACACACACTAATATATATACAGGTATGACATGTGAGTAACTGTATAGACTGCAACCTGACAACCAGGTGTGCTCCAGGACATTCTAAGTACAGTTTTATCCCACTAACAAAACACAGCAACATAAACCCCCCAAGACATAAAATGTCTAAATTTTAGAGGACAATATACAGAAGAATTAAAGACATGTGCTTGTTTTTGCGAAAACATGGCTAATGTTTAATTTCTTTCTATGCTAGCACTCAGTGTCTGCTGGCTCAGCTGATACCATCCCATTGGTATATCTCATAAAGGAAGCCCTATTGTAATTGCTTTAGCCTGCTACAGATGCAGTTGCTGCTGCAAGCCACTTTGCAACACACCTCCAACACAGTCTTTAACTTTTGAGGCAGCGATGTACCTGGTCACTGTTTTATATGTAAATTTGTGTCATTTCGATTTCATAAAATAAACAAAATTTTCCAAGTGTGGCAGTGTTTACATTCTTCAACAAACACACATATAGAAACATCTTCTTGGCTCAAGGCATCTCTTCAAATCCACCAGATTCTTCATAAAAATATGTTTTTTCTATCCAGTCAGATTTCAGAGGACACTGAGCAGAAGCATGTTCTTACTAACTGACCTGTTGAATCTCATCTCACGCCTCTCCTCCCTGACTGTTTGGCTTAGGCTGTAGCGTCGCTGCGGGGCAGGAGAGTCCTCCCCTGCTGCCTCCTCCTCCTCATCTTCCACCGTGTCTCCCAGTTTCTCCTCAAAGGCCTGGATCTTCACCTGCAGCTGCTGCTCTGGTGCTCCTCCTCCTCCATCTGATTGGAACGCCTCATCCACCCTGAATGCACACAGAGCCAGAGTTCACATTATAGTTGCTATACGTGTGACCTGAAGCTGACGGTGTCACAAGTTTCTCCCGCTCTGGCAAATGTTGGCTTAATTTGCTTTTCTTACATTAATTGGTTCAAATTGTGTCGAACCCTCTTTCGCTCTTTTCTGTTTTTCGTTCCTTACTTGTGTTTTTATACAAATATCCTTCAAAACTTCTACTTGTTTGAAAGAGGGCTTCCTTTCCACTCCCCCTGCTCTTTCACTAATAAACTGCCTTTGCCTCCCTCCAATCCTTTTCCCCTTCTATCTCTCTTCCAAAAGACCCCAAGCAAAGTCTTTCGAAGCCTCAAACTCTGCACACAATGTTCTTATTTAGAAGAGAGCTGTGTGTGTGTCATTTCCACAGGGCAGCCAGATGACTCTTGGCCAGCGTATGCACGGTATGGCGTGTTCACTTCTTGTGCACGCAGATTGTTTTGAAGGCAAAACCAAAAAGCAAAATATTTTAATGACCTTAAACAGTGCGCTGTAACAGACCCAGATTTGATTTTAGTGTCACGATCAAAGTAACACAGCTCAATGTGTCGAGTCAGTATGTGTATTCTCTTTATGACTCAGTCTCTGACACAAAAAAAATCCCCCACTCGCCCTGTGGGGCGGCCTTCATCCTTCAAGCTCGGGTGCTCTATCAAAGGCCTGGGAGCTTGAGGGCTCTGTGCAGTATCTTAGCTGTTCCTAGAACTGCGCTCTTCTGGACAGAGATGTCAGATGTTGTTCCTGGGATCTGCTGGAGCCACTCGCCCAGTTTGGGGGTCACTGTCCCGAGACCACTTCTGCCTTTACCCTCCACATCTTCTCGAGTTGTTCTCGCAGCTCTTGGTATTTCTTGAGCTTCTCGTGGTCCTTCTTCCTAATGTTGTTATCACTTGGTATACCTACATCCGTCACTACGGTCGCCTTTCTCTACTTGACCATCACTAGTTTGTCCGCCTGTATCTGGAAGTCCCACAGGATCTTAGCTCAGTCATTCTCGACCACCCTGGGGGTCCTCTGCTATCAACAGAATAGCAGAATATGTATTTTCAGACCGTTCTCTGTAAACCCTGTATATGATTGTGTGGGAAAGTCCCATCAGATCAGCAGTTTCTGAAATCCTCAGACCAAACCATCTGGCACCAAAAAAACCATGCCACATTCAAAGTCATATAAATTCTTCCTCATTCTGATGCTCGGTTTGAACTTCAGCAGGCCGTATTGACCATATCCACATGCCAAAATGCACTGAGCTGCTGCCACGTGGGTGGCTGATTAGTTGTTTTTTTTTATATTAACATGCAGTTGACCAGCTGAACCTAATAAACTGGCCAGTGAGTGCAAAAATCCCTTTTTAAATAAAAGGAAGAAACAGAGCATTGTAGTTGCTTAGTCTGCACAAACTCGAATTTTATTAAAGTGACTCCTGAGCGAATGCAAAACATAACAAGAATATAATCAGCAACACTTGAATATCAATCTCTAGTTGTCTCTAGCTATTCTCCATACTAGCTGCTGCAATCCAGAGAGGCTGTAGAGACACTATTTAAGATTTTAGGTGACCACCGCTAAGAGATTTCATGCAGCCCATGTTAACAGGTGTTTCCTAACCTGCAGTGTGACGTTGATTTCTCCTCCAGTCGTCTTCCCAGAAGCCTGGCTATTGCAGTGAAAGAGTTGCTCATCCTGTAGATGTCTTTACCGCAGCCGCCCAGTAAAGATGGGTAACGGTCGGTCAGCGCTCTGATCTCCAGCAGAAGGGTGTGGTGAAAGCTGTGCTCCATGCTGCCCAGAAGGGACACCAGGTAGACCAGCGAGCTGTGAGCATGAGTCTGGAGAAAGGAGACCACACATAATATCAGCCCTGGCCGACACTGGTCTTGGTATAAAATTAAACAGAAAAATAACCGAGGACTTTCAGGAAGATTTTTTACTGCTCAATGGTTTATTTCTCATTTAAAATGGGTCCAGTGTTGTGTTTTGCAGCAGTTTGGGAATATTGTTGAGTTATATGGGTTTTGGTGAAGAAAGCGTGAATTTTAGCTATGGTAATTCAACACACATGAGTTTTCCTCTTCCCGTCTGTTTGGGAGGGTTTGGTGTAACTTCTTTTGTTACTAAATCATAGCAAACAATAATAAATACAAACACATGCAGGCTGGCTCCCAGCAAACTTTTTAAAATACAAACTTGTTCTTTTCCCAAATGTAATAGCTTTCCAACTGAACTGCCGTAATAACCACATTTCATCATTCCCAGCATGTTTCTGTACAAATGAAATCCAGCACATATACAGTCTTGTGACTGTTGAGAGAGTAATACTTAACCAGGAATATGACCTGTGCAATACCCCCTCAATAGACGCCCCATGCCTCTCTTGTATATATATTTCTGTATACAAAATTGTGTAACGTATACTTTAATGTAATCAGCTTTATTTAACAGGAGCAGCCGCATTTTAAACAGAGCGCAGAAATCGGCGTGACAGGAGATGATCAAAGGTGAGTGAGAGCTCTCTTGTGGTGTTTTAGGGCAGAACTAAAGCCAAAAAATCCCCATCTGTGGTCAAAAACCTTTTTTTAAACACTTGCGTCTTATAAAACTCACATTGCAGAACTAAAAACTGAAAACACTCTCCTTCCTTCTCGAATTCTCAGATAAGAAGTGATTGATTGATGGCGGGCAGAGCCAACCTCTGTTTCCAGCCCTCTAGAACACCTTGTAACGAGGAGAGAACAACGCAGTTACAGCATCGTTCAGGCATGCCTCAAAAGCTCTGTAGGATACTTCGTTTCTATTATGTGGATCCCAAAACTAAGGAAGAACTTGACTTTTAAAAAAATTTAAACCTAACAACATGCCAAGCAGGTATTTAGGAGTTTCCACGGCTCTGCACAAAAAGGACTCTGGAGCGTGGCTGGAGCTCAGGCTTTGGCTACGTCTGAACTAAAGTTCAGGCTTTTCCAGATGATTTTACTTTTTAAGGACTTACTAAAATTCCTCCAAATATTGCAGCATACGCAGAGGCTCGCATCATTTTCACTTTGGAACTGAGAATAATAGCATAAAATTTAAAAATCTGCCGGACATATGAAGATCTCTTCAATCGTCAAATTACGTTTAATTATTTGGAGACAGCACTTGGCCTTGATTTCGTATCCTGAACACATTACGGCTTTAAAAGCTAAACCCCTTTGTAAAGCTCTGCCAAAAAGGACAATAACAGGAAGGTCTTAAAAAAGAACTACTAGCTGTTTTTAATTATGAGCTTCCATGTTTTCCAGAAAATGATGGCAGGGGGGAGCAGATCTTCTTCCAAACTGCCAATCTGCAGAAGACTGACACAGATCTAGAGATTTATGGTTTTTCAGCCTTGTGTCTGAACAAATAAATTTCCAAATGCCTCCCTGGGAAACAAACTGTGGCCCATTCTGTTTCAGTCACTGACAATAATTTGAGCCAAGCTCCTCTGGCAATAGCACCTGCGCTGGTGTGTACAAAACATTAAATACCGGGGGATTCAAACCAAAAGAGAAAAAGCAAAGAAAGAAAACATTGCATCGGTACAGTGACAAGCCAAATCCTCTCGCTGCTTACCACCCAGTTATTTTCTTTTCCTTTCTTCCCTTGCTTCTTTGCATTAGCTTCAATTGGAGCTGCAGTCTGCACACAGTCACTCTACAGTCTCTTCATTTATTAAATAAAAACAACAGCAAACAAATACGATTATATTTATCTTTCAGGTATATAGAATTTGTGTAACACTGCCTAAAATCAACTGACAATCTTAATCATAATCATCTCAAAGACTTTAAGTTAGTGTGGAGATCAATTTATTTAGAAGAAGTTTGTTAATTCACAGAGTCAGATGCAGCATGCAAAGGTGGAGCGGGGTAGGGTGTGGGTGGGTTGCAAAGTGGCTTGGAGAGGCAGCTACAACTGTTGCAGGCTAAAGAAACTGCAATGATGCACATTATCCAAGATTTGCCAGCGGGCTCCACAGTCACCATCCGATATGAGCAGGGACTGTGATCAGCTGCTGGGGGAGTTTGACTTTGTGGCCTCCCTGATGTAAAGCTAAGTTTACAAGTTTAAAGCTAAGCTTTCAAACAAATATATATATCTTTTATTGTTCTGTCGAATTGAATTTATATGTATATATAGCACCAATCTATAACATCAGCTGTCTCAGAGAGAAATTCTCTAGCCATCAGATGAAGCCCTACAAGCAAGCACTTGGTGATAGTGGGAAGAAAGAACTCCATGTTAACACCAAGATATCTCTAGTAGAACCAGGTACAGGGAGAAGTGAGAACTGCACACGCTGGTTTCTCAGCATTGCTTTGAGACAGGATGTTGCTAATACTACGCACATTATAGTTCATTTACCCTAGTTTGAATCAGTTGATGAGTTTGTAAATTTGTAGCTTTGGTTTGCGTTTTTTCCCCACAGAAAATCTCAAAGTGAACCAAAATACGTCACTAAAATAGCTTATAGCTTATAGGCCAGATGTAAATACAGGAAGAAGGTTGTTCTGTTCTGCATAACATAGAGAATTTACATTACTATTACGGCTAGTTGCTAACCTGTACTGACCATTTGGTATGCACACCTATGATACGCTGCTGCACCCCAGAAAACAAAGCATACCTGGCTAAGGGAAGGTGTTTAGCTCAAATTTGCAGCATATACAGTAGCTGGTTGTTGGTTCAGATCACGTTCACACCATAAACAAAGCCACCTCCTCCAAAAGGTCTCGTGAATCGAAGGGTAAAAAAGTACCAGAGTTCAGTTTAAACGGACTAAACACCAAAGGTGTGAAAATAGCCTTTGTTCATCACCAAGCCCCATCTTGTGATCCTATATAGCAGTCGCAACTATACTGTCTAAATTTCTTTCCAAATAATAACAAACTGGGTATTTTAAATGCATAGGATTAGCACTAAATGCAGAACGACTTCAGAGTTGAATGAAGTCCTCATCAATCAAATGCACACAAGCAGATTCTGGAGAAACTGCAGTGGGATTGTTGCTAATGCCAGATTTGGCCTGATGCTTTCTGCTACCATGTTTTATGCAAACAGATTAGTGTTCCTACAACAACAAAGATTTTCTTGCAGGAAACCCCCTCCAAAACTTTAAACACAAGTGGATTGTGGCCCATGATGGTCCAAATTAATTGTTGTTGCTCCTCAGTTGGTCACACCTGCATCCAGCTAAGCAGCAGTTAAAGTTAGCATGATGATGACGTTCCTTGTAACTGAAGGAAAATGACTCAGAGTGGTTTAAAAACTGTGAGTGCCGCATGAAGCTGACGCACAGCTTTTTGTGTTCCTAGTGTTAAAAAACGCACTTGTGGGAGCGAGATAGAAGAATAGGTAGTTGCTGTTTTACTCCAGTAATCTTTGATGAAATTATAATGGACACACATTTGAGAAAACTAATGGCAGTAGTCACAAAGCGGTCATCTGGCTGTTTCAACACTGAGTGGGACTAGTTTGATTAGTTTTATTTCTGTATAGCAACGTAGAGCAAGACTGTTTGCAATTCCATCAGTTTCTTTTTTCATATTTTCCTGCAGGGCTGCTTGAATAAAAAGCAGTCCACAGTGTGCAAGGGTTTCTTTCACCAGTGACATATTCTGATCCAACACGCAATAAGTCCAGAAACACAGTATAGACTAACTCCCTTCAGGTGGCTGAGGGAAGCCAGCGAAAGACTTGTGCAATCAAGAACAAATGCATCCCAGTGTGAAAGGTTGTGTGTATGTGTGTGTGCGTGCTTGCGGGGCACAAACACGAACCCACAGGAGGGTCTCTCCACTGCCATCATCAGGAGGCCTCAGCAGGGGCATTTCCCAGAAAACACTGGTTATTTTCCAAATGGTTCCAATGTGAAGAAAGGCAGGACACCGAGGTCCAACAATCTGTGTATCTGAACGTGTATGAGTATTTGTGAGTGTGTTAAAACTGCGCTGGCAGGTTTTTTGACAAGAAGATTGAGGAGGAAGGGAACTTTCAGAGGGAAACTTTGCCCTGGAGTAATAGAAAGCCTATTATGGGTTCCAGCTTTGAGATTTCTGTGTACGTCCGTTTCTGTTTCTGCATGTGTGTTTGTATATGAGTATAGGTGGAGGGGGAACACTTCATGTAGAGACAGTCATAATGGGTTTTTTTTTTGCTAATTTCCCCTAAATTGTTGTTAAACTGCCCAAAATGCACCCAGAGGAAAAGAGAAAAAGAAAGTGGGAGCTCTCACCTGTCTTGCTGTCAGTCTAAACCCCCCAAACACACACACAGGCATCACAGACTGACTATAAAGTGGGTCTTTATCACATGTATGATTACACAGTGCTGCATAAATACTTAACAGGGTTAGAACAAGACTAGCAATAGAGCTGTAAACCTACAAGGTCTACACTGAACGCTTTTAGATGACGATGACATGATAATAATAACAATAATAGTATTTTCTGTCGTCATTTTAAAACCTGAAAGAACACAACATAAGATAACACAACTTATAAAGCCGTATTAGGGGCTCTGTGAGAGCGTGCTGTGTCAGCATGCTGATCATTAGCAGGAATCTTTTTTTTTTTTCTTCTTCTGTATTAATTCATTTTATGAACTTTTGTTTATTAGTATTGAACTTGTGTACAGCAGCAGGTTTAAGAACTGAACTCATTCGTTTAAACCCATTAAATAGTCATTGGACAAATAAAACACTGAAATTGGGGCTTAATATTGCTTTATCAAAGACAGACTTCATCGTCAAGACAATCTTTTATTGTTGTCCATCAGTTTATATATCATTGCATTTTGCTCTTTTATAAGGCTATTTGTTGAGTAACATCTGATGGCAGCCATATGTGTGACCCATAGGTTAAAGGATGCACATGGAACAAATTGTGTCTCTTTCAAAACAAATTTTGATATTTTTAATCTCTACAAAAAGTGAACTTATTGGATGTAACAGGAGCTGTCATGCTGTATTAGCAGTATTCAAAGCCATGAATGCTTTTAAATCTGTGCAAAAGTCAATACAGACACAAATAACGTGTGTCTGTTTTTGGTTTTAAACAGAGGGGTGTCACACTCTTGGTGTCAGGTGATTCATTGAGTCAGCCAGGCCATGAATTGCCAACTCATGGTGGCAGTGGGGTTTGGATTTTTGAGTGCTCCTGAGATCTGTGTTGTCAGGGGCAATTTTCCCCTGGTAGGGTCTTTCAAGGCAAACTGGCTTTGGTTGAGGGGCCAGAGAAAGTGAAGCGTTGTTTACTCCAGGACAGGGTCGCTCGGGCTTCACCTTGGAGGTGGGCCTGTGGGAGGGGTTCACTGCAAAGCGCTTTGTGACCAGGTTATGGGTTAAATGAGCCACATGGGCCCAGCCCTCCAGTGAGGCTACCGGGAGCAGGAGCGGCTAGTTCACAGGGAGGTACTATGTGGATTTGGTGGTAGTCAGAGGCAGAGAACTGGCTCTATAGACATGAAATATCATCTCTGTGGTGGGGAAGGAGAACAAGCTTGTTAGTCAGCCTCACCTGGGTTCACTCGTGATGCGAGGCATCCAGTTAGGGTGGGTATACTTGTATTCCCAACCTGGTGTGGTGCATGTTTGTCCCAGAGGATGCAAGGCTTATGGTGAACTAGCAAGTCAGGAGGGGGGGTGTAGCTTATTAAGGGTATAGTGAGACAATAGAAGAAATACTCAGAGGATCTGCCAATACCCTCTGACACGCCTCATCAGATGAAAGGGGGTCTTGGGAAAAGGAGATGACTTGCTCATTGCTGTTGCTGAGGTTGCCAAGGTGCCTAACAAACTCCCTTGCGGTCGGACCCTTGGGTTGATGAGTTGAGCCCTGAGTTAAGGCTCTGAATTTTACTGGTCCCTCATGGTTTATATGCCTCTGTGAAACTACATGGGAGTCAGGGACAGCTACCTTTGAACTGAAAAACTCAGGTGGTCGTCTTCCTTTTAACCAAATTGAAAGCTTGATTCACATTGATACAATAACTCAGACTTGTTCATGGTGGGGGTTAGACTTTGCAAGGTCTGTCTTTTGTCACCAAATCTGCTGATAATTTTTGTGAACAGCAGGCTATGGTGAGGTAGGCAATTTTAAAAACAAAATTTCACACATACTGAGCTAAGATTTCAAAATACATTTTCCAGTATAGCCGATTTTCCCTTTTCAGCACACAAAGGACCAACTGTTTTCTGAGGTTAATGTTCCCTAAAATTGTGTTATGTTTGCAACAATAGGGTAAGGCTTAGAACATTGCTCCTTCATTGTTACTTCAAATTAGATCTTCACCTGCCAGAATACCAGACTGACCTTTCTAAGCCCTAAGGGGTTTCGGCACGTGTTGGGAAAGACAGTTCCACCGAACACTGATGTATGCAGGTGTCAGACAGCCGTCCAAACCTCCGGATCTGCCCGGCCTATCCGGTCTGTGTGTGTTTTATACTTGGCAGAGCATGAGAGAACAAGTCATATGAGTGCCCGTTATTTCCTACTCATTAAAATAATCACTCCTGCCTGTTTACAGTAAGTGTGTGTTTCAATGACCTCTACTTGTTTCTATTATTTCCTTCAGACTTGCTCCTCTTTATATCCTCAGTTGGGTTAATTGAGGTAATATGCTTGAACGAACAGTAAATATGAATTTATGTCATGCAGTTAAAGTGTTTAAAATGTATCCACTTATTCCATTCACACAATGATGCAAAGTGATGGTCTAATCATATCCGGTGTGTAAAAGCCTTTACAGTTAAGCCTTTTCAACTTGAGTTTCATTTTGTAGAAGATAGTCAAAAAATGGTAACTCTGGTGTGGAGGGCAGGTTTAGTGTGTTATGCTAGAGTGGCCAAAAAGCTGCCACATTTTCAGTGTGCTGCTGCTTATGAAAAAAAGAGAGCATACTCCTGAGCTTCCAGAGAGCTGCAGATCATGCACAAATCATCTACTTTGACCTCCAGTGGTCAAAAGATCATCTCCGGGAAGCAATCTAAAAATAACTGCAACTGGAGCGGCCCAGAGGTGTACCAGAAGTTGAACTTGAAGGTGAGATCACCAAAATTTGAAATGAGGTAAGGCTCTTTTTTGAGTGTGTGTGTTTTTTTTTTGTTTTTTTTTTTACCTCACTGATAATGCCCACAGCACCGTGGATTTTGGCCACATGAGCCAGGAAAGCAGGGCACTGCTGTCCCAAGATCCTGAGCGGTGGCAGAAAGCTGACCAGCGAGGAAGGACTTGCTTGAGACACATCGACAAGTGCTCCTAAAAGAGCCTCGGTGAGAGACTGGTTCCCTAGGTAACCGACCAACGTTGGAACCTGAGGGCTCAACATCTGCATGGATGAGGAAAACAAAGAAAGAAGCAGAGAATTAGAGAGGGGGAAATAAAATAAAAACAGAGCATTATTCATGACAAATAACAACTACCAAAAGGAGCCCTGATCTTTCCAGTGAAGGCCGTAGGTGAGAGGAGTGACCTCGGAGTGAGATGAAGATACTCGTGACTAATAATAAACAAAAACTTGGCTGTAGGGATGTCTGGAAAAACTGAGTGAATAAAAAGCTCCTGCTCATAATCTGTAAGGGTCATAGTAGACTGCACTAGACTGGAATGGTCTAATATCCACCATTGCCAGCTCTTTTAGTTGTTGTGAAAGATTATCAAGCCATATATGTCCTGTTAACAATTCTGTCTGACAAATGAAAAATAGGTTATGCAGTTCAAAAGTTCCACATGAGTGCCATTTTAATGCCGCATCACTTACGAAAAGTGAATCTCAAGATGCCAAACATTTGGTAACTGCTGTGACGAACACAGCTACAATATTTTCCTGTGTGCCTATGTGGGGGGTTCACATTAGAATAACTCCAGATGGCTGCTTTTGTTTCTCAACTGAGGCTGCGTTTTACCACCATGTGCTCTGCTTGGTATGTGGTACTTCCCCGCCCACCCCCTCCTTCACGTTGAACATCAGCAGCTCTGGTCCAAAATATCCAGGATTAAGGGAATTCCTGCACACCACATGCAAAGTCCCAATTCTCCCAGTGCTTTCTCTTTTTTTTTTTTCTCCAATGCATTTTCCACATGCATTCATTTGCATACATTTCAGTCACAGATAGAAACGACATAATCACAGACATGCTGGATTTCGCAACTTCTTCACGAGTGTTTTTGTTTCTAGATACTGGATTACTTTCACATGGGCCATCAGTTCTGACTGTAATGCATTTACCTCGTTTTAGTTTTTATTAATACTAGATATAACATGTATATACTATGTTTAGGTGTCACTTGACTATGGATTCCTGAAACAGTCAGATCAAGGGCACTGAAGGTAGTGACCGGCAAAGCTTCAAGAAACCCAAAACACATTATAAAAATGACACAGACACTTAAATAAGCCTCACCAAGCACACAACTGAGGTTTCTACACGGTCTGAACTATGTGGTGGGAGGCATTTAAATGATGTAGAGCACTGAACACATTTATAATGCCACCTGTCATAAAAACAAGAAAGTAGAAGCATTTTAGAAGTCTGTCATAACATTTTATATGTATTATTATTGTAATTTTCACCGTGTTGGCTGCAAAGCGGTGACACAATGACTGAAATTTTAATATAAATTGTCGGTGAAGTAATAGTGGTATGAGCAGCCATAACTTAACAGAAAAAATAATCCAAATAATCCAAATGAAAGTGGATAGTTTGAATAGTTTGTTTCAAACACAGTAAATTGTTAATTCGTCAGCACAAAAACTCACAAGTGGATGTTGCTCGGCAACCATTTGAATAAGCCTGATCAGGTGTTGTTGCTCGGTGGATTCCAGCTGTGGCATCATGGCGGTGAGGTTGCCTAGGTGGTGGTGAATGGTGTCTGGTTGTTTGGGGTAGACTGAGGGCAGAACTCTCAACAGCATGTGGTTACCTGGCGGGGAAAGAGAAACACAGATGTTTTATTGAGCCCCAGAGACAACTTCAAAGCCTTTTACAAACAGATTCCACACAAAGTGGTCATTGTGTGAAAAAAAAGGTCACTTTAAAAAAACTGCACTGAGCACCTGACCTCTTTTTTAACATTTCCATGCATTTAAAGCGTGCTGAATTTGTGTTTTATCTTCACTAATCCCACAAACCTGAAAAGGATAGGTGGAAGAAAATGGATGGAAGGATCTTCAGTGGTTGGGTACCAGTACCCAAAATGTTCAGACCAGCTAAACACCATCAAATTACACACATATATCTTGACAACGAACGAGCAGCTAAGCATTAAGGGGTCAGCTGCTCCTTTGCTTTTCCTAGTAATCAAAATGTTAAGAAAACTTTTCAGGAAGAGAAAGAAGGTGAGAGAAGCAAAAGGCATTCTTTTGTTTACTTAGGAAAATAACACCGTGACAACGTTTCTTTTGTCCGTTTCTCGCTCCTTGCTGTTTGCAGCAGGATGACCCAAACAGGGTCATTACAGAGTTAGAGGAGGCTGTTAGCTCGGTCTGGTCAGTGTCGCATTGGCACATTTATTACAGGAGGTGGAAAAGGTCACTTTTGCATTTTGTCATCCTCTCTGCAGAGATTTAGGTCTGACATATTGCATCCGAGCCTGTTTTATGTGCCTATTTCTGTGTTTGGAGAACCAAAGATGTTGAGATTGATCAAAAAAAGAAGAAAAAGCATATTGTTTAAAACCTTTCGTTTTTAAGTTGCCTTTGGCATAGCTCTAATGCGATCCTCAGAAGACACACATCAGATTACCAGTCATGAGACAACATCTCTGTTCGGGAATGAAATTTTCATTCGTTGTCAGTACTCATGCAGTGATGCTGAGACAGCCAGTACTGACGCATGACTGGCAAAAAGGCATTTGCTGATCAGCAAAGAGCCCAAGAAAACCCACAGTATTACCCAACAGCCTTTGACTAACATATAAAACATCTTTAAATGATTCACATCAGTGAACAAAGACTCTTGTTTACAAATGGTAAACATTATGGGACCTCTCAGGGTTCTGTACTACGGTTCTTGAGTATTACATAAAGCCAAAAGCCCTGTCACGTTATGTTTAACTGTTGCAATTTATATAAATTGTATAAACTGCTTTAAAGGACTAGGATTTATAGTATTTGCAGAGCAGGTGAAATGGTCAGATTGGAGGAATAACTACTGGAGGAGGGCTTTAAGAAGTACTTTAACACTCCTGAGCTTAGCTAGCCTTAGCACACACACCAAACAAACAGTGGCACTGCCCAAACACGACAAAATTAATCTAATAGCAACTTAAGTTCATTAAAGCTCAGGTAAGCAAATCAAGACTCCTGCACCTCCTCTGGGCCCCATCAGGAGGCTTTGGCCAATCACAGGCGGTGTCAGATCAAATCAGGTGAGATTTGCTGTTGGAGGTAAGATGTAAAGGAGCAGTGGCATAAGATGATTCCTCTTACCTGGCAGAGGTGTTTTTGAATGATGGGAGGGGCTTAGAACAGACGAGGCAGAGCCACAGGAAAATTACACATTACACTAAAACCAGTATTAACCTATAAATCACTGTAACCACAGGCTGTCCACTCAAAAATGTTCAGCAGGTTTGATGTTGGAACAGACCAACAGAGAGGTCTGACTGTTCTGTGCAAATGGAAGATAATATTTATAAGACGGTCATTGGCTCTATTTATGCTCACTTCTCTAGCTTTAAATGTTGCCTGCAATGTCCACTAATGTACACTAATGTAGACTATCAGGCACCACCCCTGTACTTTAAACACAAATCACCATAAAAAGAGACTGACACAGTTAGTGCACAGAAAGAGAGAGAGAGCTGGTAATAACCATAAAGCCGAGGTTGCAGCTTTTACGGGTCTTTTACAGGAATGTTAAAAGGCCGGAGGAGACAAGAGTCTGCCCAGAAACAGAGAATTTACACAGCTTACGTATTTGAGCCCCTTATACTGTCAGACACACTTGCATTTATAAAAAGTCATTTGAAAAATAAAATGAGTGTTACTGTAAATTGTTGGATTTTTATGAAATATTTGGACAAGTTCGGATCTGTTTGAACGACATCAGAAGAAAAATGAGCTTTGTCAGTAATTGTTTCCAATAAATAAGTATTTTTCTTCGGTGAATGCGAGTACACGCTTAGCATCAGAAGCTAGTGTTTCTAACTTTAGTAGAAAGAACTTTTGGTAGGCAATTTTGCACAATTACAATTTGTAGCATAGTCTCTGAAGCCCTGCTTCAGCATGTTGCAGGGGTTTCTTGTATATGTTGGCTGTTTGCTTCTATAGGGTGGCTGTAGCTCAGGAGGTAGAGCAGGTCATTCAATAACTGGAAGGTTGGTGGTTTAATCGCTGGCTGCTTCAGTCTCCATGCCAAAGAATCCTTGGGCAAGAAGCTGAACCCCAAGGTCACACTCCACATCGGAGTATGAATGTTAGCTAGAAAGCACTTAGGTGTAGAAAAAGGTGATTGTGTGAATGAGACAAGTTATGTCCTCAAGTAGATTTGATTCGAAGCCACATGTTTTAGCTTTTTTGACT